TTCCTGTGCTGAACCATCTGAGTTGCTGCTGCTGCTGCTGCTGCTGCTGCTGCTGCTGGCTGCTGCTGTGTATTGACGGGGCGTCGCGCCCCACCATGTAAGTATAGAGGAGATAAGTATGATGGTGATGGGTTGTTTAATATCTGCAGTTTTTATTTTTTTTATTATAATTTGTATCTCTTCTGGTTCTGCTGTATGCAAATCGAAGACAAGCAAACGACAAGACAACATATTTTGTATCAGTTGCTGCGGGTTTCTCTTTGTTATTACTCTTCGTATGCATGCAGGCACAGGGGGACGCATGCAGCTGTCTGCTGCTTCTCCCCCTTGTGCTGCTGCTGCTGCTGCTGCTGCTGCTGTGTCTTCGGGCTTCAGTGCTGTCTCTACGCCTTCTGCTGTCGCAAACAATCTATTTAGTTTTCCCTCTCCCTGACGGAGGGTACGAGCCAGGGCAATGCCTGTGTATGTATTCACGTTATATATAAACACCCGCATTGCTGCTGCTGCTGCTGCTGCTGCTGCTGCTGCTACTGCTGCTGCTGCTGCTGCTGAGGCTGGGGATTACTACTACTATTTTTATGGTGGCGAGAAAGATGAGGAGGCAACTGCCGCTGCAGCTGCTGCTGCTGCTGCTGCTGCTGTTGCTGCTGCTGCTGCTGCTGTTGCAGGGCTGATATTTTTGTTGCTTAGTTAGCCTTTGTTTGTTTATTTTTTGTGTGTTTATCGTTGTTTATTTGTTTTTGTTTATTTATCTTTATTTGTTTTTATTTATTTTATTAGATTAACGTATTTATTTTTGTCTATTTGTTTAATTTTGTTTTTTTTTTTATTGTATTTTGTTGCTGTTTCCGTTTGCTGCTAGCTGGTTGCTGGCTGCTGCTACGGGGGCAGCCGGCGTAGCTTTCTCTGTATTTTTTGTTTTTTTATTTAATTAAAAATTAAAATATAATTTATTTCTTTTTTTTTCTTTTTCATATTTTTGTTTTCAATGAAATGCAATGCATTGCGGCCGTCGGCGCGTCGCCGCGCTGCATGCGTAGCCTGTGCGGTGTATGTACACCTGAAATATTTATTTTTTTTTGTAATTAGAGTAGAAAAAAGATAAAATTAAATTCATTATTTATTTTATAAACCACAAAAACACAGAAAATGCAAAAGAGCAGGGTGTATGCACGGAGGTTACCCCCCCGGCGCAGGGAGCGGCGCGGCGAGGATGCAGCCAGTAAGATGAAATAGATAAAAATAAAAGAAAAAAGTATAAGTTGGGGTATTTAAAATAAAGGAAAAAGAATAAAAAAGACGAAAATAAAGTTATTTCAGATAAATTTCGCTTTTATAATACAACATACTGCCTACTGCTGCTGGCGCTGTAGCAGCGCGCCGCCGCCGACGTGTTGTGACTGCTGCTGCTGGGTGTGTGTGTGTGTGTAAGCAGAGGCGGCGGGTCTTTCTGTGTTATTGAGGGCTTTCTTTTTGCTTTTTTTTGTTGAAATATAAATATAAATAAATTAATAACTTTTTTTCTCCAATTAAACCCCAGTTTACGCAACACCGCAGCAGCTACTGCTGCTGCTTCTGCTGCTGCTGCTGCTGCTGCTGCTGCTCTGCTGCTCGCTGGCTCAAGGGTGGTTGGGGGGGCAGCACAAGTCAGGTATTTCGGGTTAATGTTTTGTTTTGTTATTTATTTTCTTTTTTATTTTATCTCTTTTAGCTGCATTTGTCTTTATT